CCAACCCTAACTCCTCTCTCAGCCCCAGAACCGTATTCGTTCTGAGCAGCCCAGGGATGACAGCCCTCCCCTCCCGCTCCCCGTGAATGAACCCTCGTCGTCTGCTGAGCTGAGGGGGGGCAGCCACCCCTTGTTACCTGGGAGTGAGCCCAGGACTCCTGCAGTATGCTCACCTCTGGGGCTGGGGTGCATCAGGCTGACGTCCGATGGCACAGACGCTGCCACCCAGCCCCGATGGCTCTTGTCAGAACAGGACAACCCCTAGCGTTTCTGGAATAGAGGCTCCCAAAGCACCAGCGCTAGACGGGGTGGGAGTGGCTGTGGCACAGAGCTGCTCCGAGGTGGCTGGGCCATGTGTGGTCCAGGGATAAAATGATCTAAAAACAAGACTATTTCTCTTAATCCATTTTAAAAAAATTGATTTCAGAGAGGAAGGGAGAGGGAGAGAGAGAAACATCCATGATGAGAGAGAATCATGGACCGGCTGCCTCCTGCACGCCCCCTAATGAGGGGATGGAGCCCACAACCCGGGCATGTGCCCTTGACCGGGAATCGAACCCGGGACCTCCAGGTTCATAGGTCGACGCTCTATCCATTGAGCCACACTGGTAGGACTGATTCTATTTCTGTGGAATGTTCCGGAATGTGCAAATCCGTGGATACCATGTCCCCAGCCACCCCCAACCTCCAGGGCCACCCGGCCCCATGCCTGTTCCCCCGGGTACGGCTGCCCCTGCACACACTTACCTCTGGGAAGGCCTCACCGGTGCCCACCACCTCCGTTTTCACCTGGGGCACCGGAGGGAATAGCTTGCGTCTCAGGGAGAACCTGGGGGTGGGAAGGGGAGGGGGAGGAAGAGAAATTGTGAGGGACCCGCCAGCTCTGAGTCTGACCCCGGAGGCACCAGGCTCCTCCCGGATCAACCCAGCGGCCAAGTTCAGGGCATGTGGCCTGGACGCCATCCACCCGGGACTCACGCTTCCTGCCGAATGGGGGCGGGGATGGGGGACACAGATATTGGGGAGCTACCCCCCACCCCATGCCCAAGGGCTACTATAGATAGACACTTGCTTTGCTGTTGTCTCTTTGCAACAAAAAAAGATCTTTGGGGACAGAATGTGGCATCAGGTCCCGGACAAGGGTGACTTGGGCCTGTTTCAACAGCCCGAGGGTTGAGGTATCAGCCGTGCCTGGGGGTTTGACCGGGGCGGCAGCTCGGCTCCACTTTAAAAAATATATATTAAAAAAAAAAAACAAACACCTTTCTTTAAAAAAATTTTTTTTTATTGACTTTAGAGAGAGAAAGGGAGAGGGAGAGGGAGAAAGGGAGAGAGAATTATCGATTGGCTGCCTCCTGCACGCTCCCCACTGGGGTTCAAGCCCGCAACCCGGGCATGTGCCCTGACCAGGATCGAACCCGTGACCGCCTGGTTCATAGGTCGACGTTCCACCTCTGAGCCAGGCCGGCTGGGCGGACCTTGAATTTTATTTATTTATTTTTTTTGTGAATTCTCACCCGGGCACATTTTCCCATTGATTTTTAGAGAGAGAGGAAGAGAGAGGGAAAGAAAAATTTCAATGTGAGAGAAACAATTTCATAGGTTGCCTCCTGCACTTTCCCTGATCAGGGCCAGGCTGGGGCCAGGGAGGAGCCTGCAACCCCAGGTACCTGCCCTTGACCGGGAATCGAACCCGGGACCCTTCAGTCCGCAGGCCGGCGCTCTATCCACTGAGCCACACCAGCCAGGGCCCAGAGTGTCACATTTTTGAATTTTTCGTGGGTTTGTTTTGTTGGTCAGTGGGGGTGGGAAAGGGGGCGTGGGGAGTGGGGAGTTACCTGGTGCAGAGAAACATGAGGACGGTGATGACCAACGCGGCCACCCCCACCACCATCCCCAAAAGGGCACCGGGGAAGCCGCTGACTTCCTGGTCTGGGAGGCCTGTGGAGAGGGGGGTGGGGGGGAAAAGATGAGGGGAGTCAGAGGGGACCCCGGTCTGTTTCACACACTTTCCCCCTCCCCCATCACGTTAGTAGACAAATAAGAGATGAGAGAGTGTGGTCAGAGGAAGAAGGGCGGAGGGGACCCCAGGAACATGGACAGTGGACAATACCTCCTTCTTGGGGTCCTGTATCCACCCCTCCTCACTGTCACCCCACACCCCCCCTCGTTGTCTCCACGCCCAGCTCACAAGACTGAACCCGCCCAGCACCAGCTCTTTCTTTCTCATAGACAAAAAAAATGAATGTCTACGTGTGAAATGGGCAGGGACAAGGCCAAAGGAGTGAGTGTGTGAGTGTGAAATGGGCAGGGACCAGGCCAAAGGAGTGAGTGTGTGAGTGTGAAATGGGCAGGGACAAGGCCAAAGGAGTGAGTGTGTGAGTGTGAAATGGGCAGGGACACGGCCAAAAGAGTGAGTGTGTGAATGTGAATTTAGAGGCCATGACCCATGTGCCCCCCAAATGTATCCCAAGAGATGGCTGACACGGCCAAAGGAGTGAGTGTGTGAGTGTGAATTTAGAGGCCATGCCCCGTGTGCCCCCCAAATGGATCCCAAGAGTTGGTG